AGTCGTCATTTCAGCCCTTTCTGCCGTCTATGTTGTGGCCAGGTTCGACGATAAACCACCTGGACGCGAGGAGGAGCAAGACAAGAAGAAATTCTTGTCTTTAGAGACGATCAAGACGCCATTCCAAGTAGTGTTGAGAGAACGGGAGAGCGGAGGGCGACCGCAGATCCTCGGCCACATTGTCTGCATTTCTCTCTTCATGATGTCGGCCGGTATGCTCTTCTTTCATTTAATTCAGATCGGTGTTTCTCTCCCTTGTCTCACGAAGAGCATTTGTGTCCGATAGTTCACGAAGTATTTACGAATGATGATAAAACTATAAACGTAGTTGTGATTCAAAATCTAATGTTCCTCAAATGTGTATATGAAATCGAGCTAAAAAAAATGTTTCCAGTCATATAATATTCTATTCTCAGACGACGACTTCTCCTTTCTGTTCCTGTACACCCGGAAGAAGTTTGACTGGAATTATTTCAACTTTACGGTGTGGAGCATATTCAGAACTCCAATTTCCATCATAGGTGAGATATTTTTGGACAGATAAACGTTTCCCCAGCATTTTCTCATTTCGCATTTTCTGATTATAAAGGACATTAAAGTGATTCAGTTTACCTATCTTGTAAAACTTCGTTATCCCTTCTTTTCCACTATTTAATTTAATCATCCTCGTAATAACTATTATAATCTTACATAAATTTCTTGGACTTTCATTACCGACAACCGACTTGAAATTGCAAATTATGCGAAAGATCAAATACTATTTCATCGCAGCGGCTTGCGTGGTGGTGCCTATCCTGAGCTACCGCCTTGGCATGAGGGATACCATGCTGTCCTTCATTGCCTCCATCTCGCAGTTATTTTATGGCGTCCTAATGGGCACAGCTCCTGCATCTTGGGTCTTCTACTTGGGTATGTATACCTCACATGAATCGATATAAAACCACACATGGTAACTAGTTGTGATTAACAAGTTCCAGTGATCTTTTGAAGACGTAGACACACTTAGACACATTACATCCACTCACAAGAATCACGTATATAAACACCACGGTATTAAAAGTTGGTGTACCGTGTTCTCAGCGGTAGTGGTGTCGGGTTGCAAAGACTTCGGTATTTCATGCTCTCGCGGGGCACTCTCAAAGCTGGCTGAACAGCACGAAATGGGCGCCGTCTTCTCCGTGATCGGGATTGGAGAGGCGCTCCTCCCTCTCGCCGTCAGCCCCGTCTACACCGCTGTCTACAACGGCACTCTTGAGGTCTTCTCTGGAACCGTCTTTCTCGTGCTGGCGGGCGTGAGCGTCATCATTGCAACGATTTATGTGTAGGTTTATTCCTTTTATTTGTTCTTTTTTATTTTTTTTTAATTTTATTCATTTATTTTCAAAGTTTACATACTGCAGTGGCTATGCACCATTTTCAATATAGCATAAAGCACTATTTTTTTTTTTTTTTTACACACTGCATCTGGGATTGGCTGTTTTTTATCAATACAACATACAGCACACGATCCCCTTATTTCCTTTAGTTACCAGCATATCAGTGACAAATTTGAGATCCTTAATTTCTTGTTCTTTCATTATCTTCTCAAAAAAATAACGTGTGTGTGTAAACTCTTGATCAGAGCTTCTTTTCTCGATATACCTTTTGATGTTTTTTAGATTTCATGGCATCTAAACTTATAAAATACCTGGAAGTATTTTATTGATGGAAAGTTATGCATATAACTGAAGTGCAAAACAGCAGAATAATACCAAGTTATTGATTTCAGATGGCTTTTAACCCACTTTGAGGAGGTGAATGAGGAAGAAACATCAACCAGCTAGAGAAACAGAGTTAGAAGTAGAGCTTAAGTAGTTTTGTTTCCTCTAACCAATAGAAAAAAATAGTTACAGGTTCTATAAAGGTAAGCATTGTTATGGAAATCTGTTAAACACTCACAACATAGTAGAAGTTTAATTACTTATTGTATATTGTTGACCATTGTTGTAAAAATCTGTTAAATGCTGACTACATTAATAGATTTTTAAAAATTGAAATTAACTTGCCAAGGATGTGTAGAGTAACAAGTCCACAATATTAACAAGGATATTACTATCTCCTCTGTTGTTCCTTGTTGTGCTAATTACTATGATTAATAAAAAAAAAAAAAAAAAAAAAATATATATATATATATATATATATATATATATATATATATATATATATATATATATATATTATATATATGTATATATATATATATATATATATATATATATATATATATATATATATACATACATATATATATATATTTTCACTCATATCCCTAGCACAGGAGAAACTACCCAACACCAGGTTGTATTTGATATGAAAGTAATGATCTCTACCTGAATTGGATACCTCACCACTGGTTCTGAATAATTTGCAAAGTAATTGAGGTAACAAAGCAAGTTAATCCTGCAAGGAAAATGAAACAGTACTGTCCCTGTTATCATAAATTTTCTTTTCTAAACAGAGGTGCAGATACAAAAGAATAAATGGACTATGTCCGTCTGTTTGAATATCTCCATGAATATGTATAAAAAGCTGAGTTAAAAATTATATATAATCTTGAGGTTCAACATAAAATTGTAATACTTTTCCTGGCTATGTTGGCTAAATTTCATTGCACGGAAAATATAAATCTTTATAAAAACAGTTCTTTCTTCTTCTCTAATATTCTCTAATTATCACAGATCTCAATCAGATTTCTCAAAAATGACACACCAGTTTCCTTCATCATAATAAGATTTTACAACCTTTAACCCTTCTATTTTACCACACAAAGCTTCGAGCTCCCCCTGTTTAAATACATGGTAGTACCTATGGAAAACTGGTTCCTGACCTTCCACTGTTGTCTCACATGAATCCGAAGCTGCCATATTTGAGTTTGCCTGTTCACTTTCAACTAGTTTGGATGGTTGATCATCTTTGTCTAAATTTTGTGAAACTCCATCACTTGACTTGTCACTGTCTGATTTTTGATTGCTTCTGTTGTCATATTTCTTGTTTTTTCCCTTTTCTTTGGCATCTTTCTTTATCTGTGGTTTTAATTTCCAAGGCACTAACATGTCCTGCTGAACAAATTCTGTGCGGTTGACATGGACAGGAAGTGGCACATCCTGTAATGCACAAGATTTTGGTGACTCTTGCATTACCTCCTTTTTAAGTCCTGAAGAGATGTCGTCACTTTTCCCACTCTTTATGTCTATATCACAAGCAGCATTTGCACCCACGTTTTCACCATTCTCTTCCTGTTTCTGGTTAGCTTTATTTTGTTTGAGGTAAGCAGATTTCTTCTTTCCTCTCTGTTGCTCCATGGCCCACACGTACACCAGACCTTTCCCACCTATTCTAAGGACACGTGCCATTTCCTTTAGGGATGCCAGTCGACGCTCCTGTAACAAAAGTTCATCATTACTCTTCATATTATTCACATGGTTTCTTACACATCATCTAGAGGATTTGCAGTAGTAATAAATGTTCAGATATTCCAGTACATACCACAGTGGCAAGGTGGTGTATAACTGCTATACATATAACAGCATCAAAGGTAGAGTCCCTAAAAGGTAACTGCAGGCAATTGGAGGTCAATACTTCAAATCCACGAGTATTGCAAATCTTGACTAATTCATAGCTGGTGTCACATCCCATCTGTAGGAATGTTATCATTAATAAATATTTCCGGACAAAATAATTAAATGCAAGAAATAATGAAAAAACACATATAATGTAAATGAAAGTTTATGTGACAGAATACATGAAAACGACAACATTACCTGAAATATTTTCTCGTTGTGCCCAAGATATTTGCCATTTCCACAACCAACATCTAGCAATGCAGCTCCTAATGGTAATGAGGTTACAAACTGAAAGAATGAAAAACAATAAAAATAACTTAACATGTTTTAAAAACAAAGCACATAATAGTGAGTAACTTTATTCATGATTCACTTTATGCATAAAATCCAGTAACCTTTTAGTTAACATGCAAAAAAAAATGTTGCATATCATTTCAAAACTAAATCAGCTTTATAATTTGATTTCAGTAACGTAAGTAATTAATGTCCTAACTCACACCTATTTAACTATGTTTGGGATGGTATTCTACTAACATTGTCATTTCAATCACCTTTGAGAAAGAGATCCATACATAATATAAATCACATACTAACATTTACAATTGCATATATATATATATATATATATATATATATATATATATATATATATATATATATATATATATATATATATATCTACATCTACATCTACATCTACATCTACATCTACATCTACATCTACATCTACATCTACATCTACATCTACATCTACATCTACATCTACATCTCTCTCTCTCTCTCTCTCCCTCTCTCCCTCTCTCCCTCTCTCCCTCTCCCTCTCCCTCTCCCTCTCCCTCTCCCTCTCCCTCTCCCTCTCTCTCTCTCTCTCTCTCTCTCTCTCTCTCTATATATATATATATATATATATATATATATATATATATATATATATATATATATACACATACATACATACATACATACATACATACATACATACATACATACATACATACATACATACATACATACATACATACATATACATATATACATAGATAGATGTGTATTCATATATATACTGTAAATAATAAGAACATCAAAAGACAAACTGAAAATAAATTGGACACAATGCAAACCTCCAACACGTTCGGCCATGGCTTGTGTCGTGTTGCACTAAAATGTCCAGCAATTTGATCATATACTTGAAGGACATGCTGTTGCTCTAATCTCATGGCTTGAATATCATCTGAGATAAAATCGGCTGAAGTAGCACCACTGTCTGCGTTGTCTGCAATTAAATTATTTGGGTAACAAGGCTTTTATACCTGTTTTTATCTAATTATCAAGGAAAAAACTGGCTTTCACATGTTACAGTTTATGTTGCCATCTGGAAAAATACTTACAGCCTGAATT